TGTGTGTGTGTGTGTGTGTGTGTATATAAAATACCACTGAACGCTTGTTATCGGATCTCTCAGGACGGATGTGAACACCATGTCTGAACTGGACCAGACCTGATTCATGGCTGTGACTTCCTGCTGAGATCTACATGTCCCCTGCAGGAACGTGCGTAGCTACAGCTGAAACTGTACCGAGGTCTATCTGCCTGGGACGGTAAAACATGTGTGGATGTTTTAAAGGACGTGGATCATCACATTAGAAGGCAGTTCTCTACTGAATCAAATACAGGAATTATAGATTAAACAACTAATCAACATGAATCTGACCAGATCGTCTTCTGTGACTTGGTGCAGCAGGTAAACGCTCAGATCAGATAGATGTGAACTTTGTGATACATGTGTCGCTGGTTTCCTGTCTCTGTACAAACCACATTATGCTGCTGTCACACTTCAGTTTCCTCCAAGAAGCTGGTGATTCACTCTGCTCTGGTGCATCTTAGTTCATGTATTCATGATGCAACACATTTCCGATCAACAGACTGATCGATTTGTTCAAACCAGCAGCTTCAACACATTTATCTCAGAGAACAGATCAGAGAATATCAGTAAACCCGGAAAATCTAATTCACTTCACAACATTTTTTGATGTTGAGGAATAAAGTAATAATCAAAACTGTCGGCAGTTGATTTTCTTGACAAATGACCTGATAAACACTCGACTCATTTGAAAATGTATTTATAACCTGAACTTTTATTTATGAATTGAAAAATGTATCAGTAGATAAAGACTTGTTGAGATCAAGTGTAAGCTTCAGATCTGATTAAAAATAATTACAGAATAAATAACAGAGAATAATCGTTGATGGAAAAACAGACTTGCTACTAACAGTAATGATTTATTACCAACAGATCGATCATTACTTTGATTCAACAGTGAAAACAATAAGTCGTCAGGAGACTCTAACAACGTGCTTTAACTGAATCTACAGGAAGAAATGGACAAAGATGACAACACGTGTGAATATGAGAGATTTCAAGATGCGTTCTCTCATTTTCTAAATTTCAAACTCTGACAGTTTTCACTGGATTTCTCTGAAATACACAGACAACGACAGACGGTCCGGTTTAATGTTTAATGTTAGTTTCCGGTTCACGTGGTTGAACAGAACAAGCGACACGTTTCACATCGAAGCTGAAGTTTGAGAAAAGAATCATAGAAAAGACATAAAACACAGAATCCTCCAGCAAACCAAGCTAGCTTAGCCTGTTAGCTCGTAGCAGTTAGCTCACCTTGTCTCAGTGAGTCACCAGGAAACTGCTCCGGCGGAGGAAACCAGCGGCGCCATGGTGGATCAGCGAACACACCGCGTCCAGCTGCTCACAAGAACCGACGCGTGGAGGAGCTCAGGAGGAGTGAGGAGCTCAGGAGGAGTGAGGAGCTCAGGAGGAGTGAGGAGCTCAGCAGGAGTGAGGAGCTCAGCAGGAGCTCTCGATGATCTCCGCGGTGAAGACTCGTGGATCAATAATCTGCTGCTAGCGACGAGAGGCTGGCGACACCAGTCAGTTCCGCCAAGAACTGTCAAAATAAAACACGACTCCTCGTAAAGGTCCACTTTTGACCGAAACAAACGAACTATTAAGATGATTACAGACTTCGGTCTGGTGTTTCCTCTTTAGTTACACTTTTTCTTTTTAAGTGTTTCTTATGGAGCCGCATAAACCAGTGGACTTGACAAGCTCCGGGCACCTTTCACAATAAAAGGCCTATAATGCAGTGTTAAATGAGACCACGTGACGCTCGTTTCAGAGGAAAACATCGTCATCAAAGTGAAAAGATTCAAATTTCACACATTTTATATTTTTGGTAAGATATCGCGCATTTGTGGCGTTAACGTGGATTTAAGAGATTAAACAGTAGAGGGGGGGCAGGGCACTGACGTCACATCCGCTAACCTACATTTCAACGCAGTACCATGGCAACAGTGTGTGTGTG